ATAACCATTTTGTTCCTTACACTTTGGTAAATTGTGGAACAAAATATATATTTATATATGGAGTAGTGAGTAGGGGCTCGGACTGAGGTCTCGGAGAGATGATTTCGAATTCCAATCAAATTCATTACATTTACTTACGTACTAATACCCTTGGGAAAGGTATGAATCTTCCTCTTCTCTCTCTCTCCAGCTATGGGTAATTAGCAGGACAGACTGGGTTCTATAGCCTTCGATGGAAGCTGGTCTAGGAGAAGGACAACTCTGAATTCAAAACCTGCGGAGGGTCGTTTGGGGACCTTGTGGCACGTAGTGCACCAGGTCTCTGTAATCGGCCCTTCAAAAAGTGTGGATGGTCCTGCACAAAGCCTTCACCATTATAATCAAATCATATGTGATAGTATCTGGCTGTCAGTTCCTAGGAACAGAGAGGCTGACCCTCATATGTCGAATACGACGGGAGAGTTCACCAAATATATATATATATATATATATATATATATATACTCCTTTATTATAATTTTATTATATAGACAAAACCGTTTTACTCACTACAAAGATGCAACTTGGTTTCAGTGCATTCCAACTGCACTTTGGCGGGTGAGAATCGAAAATGGTTATGAACAATTGTCCTGCTTGTTGGCAAGCCGTGTGTGAATAATTATCGCTCTACTATCGATATCGATCCCTCTTTTGGATTAATGCTGTGAACGTTGGAATTTCTATATTACTTTCGTTCTCATCGCATTGCATATATATATATATATATATATATATATATATATATATATATATATATATATATATGATAAAAATATAGTTTTAAGGTATGCTTCAATTATGGGTTAATGTACTCAGTATCAGAGATAGAATGTATGTAAATATAAAGTGGACACTGATTTCAGGTTTTAATGACGACAGTCTGTTTCATGCTTAAAATCATTCTTCAGCAGATGGACTGACGATTGCGTTTCAGTATGAATCAGATTGCCCCCTCTGAGTGTTGACTTCAAAGTCCGCACACACACACACACACACATATATATATATATATATATATATATATATATATATATATATATATATATATATGAAAATATATAGAAAATAGGAAGGAACTGGTTAGGTAAATAATCCAAAAGTCCCCTTAGTATTTTAGTTATTATTTTTTAAAAATAGTGCTCGATACAAGAGTAGAGCATAAATATAATTATTTATTTAAAAAATATGATTCCAAATCGCTACATAAGAGGTCTCATGTTTCAAAACTAGAGCCGAAAACGTCAATATAATCCTTTAAATTAAATTGAGTTGAAAGTAAAATGGATAAAAATTCCATCCTCAAAGCGAAATTTTTGTTGGAATAACGTATATCTGAAAATTTACTTGTTTTAAAATTGAAATCAAAATCCCCATGGTAACAGCTATGGTGAACTTTATAGCCTAAATTAGTAGTTTAAATACCTTACATATAAGATAACCCTTTATGAAGTCGTCAAAAAACAAACGTTACGAAATGCACAATTCCCTTTCATAATAAAATAAAATAAAATAAAATAAATAAATCTCCATAGACAAGCAAACAAGACGATGGCCAATACATCTTCCGTTTCATTTTTGACACCCCACCTTTCCCCGACTTGACACCTTGAAAGTATCTCTATACCGCTACTTATTATAAACACCCTACACTCGCTTACCCAATTTAGAAAATTCACCCTAGCTGTTACCATGGGGGATTTTGATTTCAATTTTAAAACAAGTAAATTTCAGATATACGTTATTCCAACAAAAATTTCGCTTGAGGATGGAACAGCCCATTTTTACTTTCAATTTAATTTAAAGGATTATATTGAAAATTTTCGGCTCTAGTTTTAAAACATGAGACCTCTTATGTAAAGGATTTGGAATCATATTTTTAAATAAATAATTATATATATATATATATATATATATATATATATATATATATATATATACAAAGGGGTGATTTAATACATTAAAAGAGGCCAACAATCAGCTAGCCAACAAAAAAGCCTACCCACGGACCTGCTTCCCGAATACCAAAAAGAATTAACTAGCTCACTAAACCTGATGCTTCACAACAAATTGACAAGGAAACATGCACAACACTTATACTCACATACATCACACCTGCCCTTTTTATCTCCCTCTCAAAATACACAAAACAAAACCCAGGAAGGCCGGTCATTTCATTATTCAACAACCACATGACCAAAATTTCCAAATACGTAGACCATTACATACAACCCCTAGCTAAGGAAGTAAAATCCTACATCAGAAACACAGCAGACCTACTAAAATTAATTAATCACAAACAGTTCCAGAAAATGCTATTCTAGTGACTATGAACGTAAGATCACTCTATGTAAACATTAAACACATTGAAGGAGTAACCTCCCTTATGGAAGCACTTACTAAAAGAAGAAAACAAGACCCCCCCACAGAAGTTATTATAAAATTCATGGAGCATATTTTTACATTAAATACTTTCAACTTCAATGGAGCACACTACCTGCAGCTCCATCATATTCTATAATCTTCATGGGAAAATTTTAAGAGACCCATATCTATCCCTTCATCGGTAGCTGTTGAAACTTGACTAATGCATGGAATAATGATGCAACACAAAATGTACTTAGAACAAAATGTATTGAAACAAGAAAGTGTACACAATATTTACATATAGTCTTTTGTATATTCCTGGTAAGACCGTTCC